GGTGAATGTGAAGGCAGCAGTGGTCAGAGATAACCACAGTCGTAGCAGAGGACTGCTGTTCCCAACGGTGACTGAACCGAGTACGGTGTTACCTCGTCATTCGCGACGAGGGACATGTTCCGGTGATGCTCGCAAATAGCACATTTCGTGGATAATGATATTGACCTAAAAAAAAGATTACTTAAAAAATACATAAATAAGCTATTAAATACATGAAAATGATCGTAACACAAACATGTTTACATAACTAAACATAAAGTAAATACAAAATATATATTAAACTATTAGGTAATATTTCGCTTTAAAGCATTCGTGACTGCAGGGATTCATATTATTGGTTCTTTCGGTAAAATCACGTAGAAGCGAAATAATGAAATAATAAAAATAGAACATAATCAAAATTCTCACGACGTTTCGATTGCAACACGAGCAATCATCATCAGGTGTGAAAACTATAGCAATAAATGTTTAGCTGAAGTGGGAGAGATGCTGTGATCCTCCCCCCCCCCCCTTTTATAACTTATATAACCCCTTACCACAGCATCTCTGCCACTTCAGCTACAAATTCCTTGCTGTAATTTTCACACCTGATGATGATTGCTCGTGTTGCAATCGAAACGTCGTGATAATTTTTTACTATGTTTGATTTTTATTATTTTATTATTTCTCTTCTACGTGACTTTATCGAAAGAACCAAGAATATTAGGTAATAGTTTATAAATTAACTTACCGAAATTATAATGCTGCTACGCATCTCATCACTACATCTCATCACTCCATCTCATCACTACATCTCATCACTTTCTCTCATCACTTTCTCTCATCACTTCACCTCATCACTTTCTCTAATCACTTCATTACATCACTTCACCTCATCACTTTCTCTCATCACTTCATCTCATCACTTTCTCTCATCACTTCACCTCATCACTATCTCTCATCACTTCATCTCATCACTTTCTCTCATCACTTCATCTCATCACTTCACCTCATCACTATCTCTCATCACTTCACCTCATCACTATCTCTCATCACTTCATCTCATCACTTCATCTCATCACTATCTCTCATCACTATCTCTCATCACTTCATCTCATCACTCCAGCTCATCACTTTCTCTCATCACTTTCTCTCATCACTTCATCTCATCACTTCATCTCATCACTATCTCTATCACTACATCTCATCACTATCTCTCATCACTATCTCTCATCACTTCATCTCATCACTTTCTCTATCACTACATCTCATCACTTTCTCTATCACTACATCTCATCACTATCTCTCATCACTTTCTCTCATCACTTTCTCTCATCACTCCATCTCATCACTATCTCATCACTTCATCTCATCACTTTCTCTCATCACTATCTCTCATCACTTCATCTCATCACTTTCTCTCATCACTTCATCTCATCACTTCATCTCATCACTTTCTCTCATCACTTTCTCTCATCACTTCATCTCATCACTCCAGCTCATCACTTTCTCTCATCACTTTCTCTCATCACTTCATCTCATCACTTCATCTCATCACTTTCTCTCATCACTTCACCTCATCACTTTCTCTCATCACTATCTCTCATCACTTTCTCTCATCACTTCATCTCATCACTTTCTCTCATCACTTTCTCTCATCACTATCTCTCATCACTTCATCTTATCACTTCATCTCATCACTGTCTCTCATCACTTTCTCTCATCACTCCATCTCATCACTTCATCTCATCACTTTCTCTCATCACTTTCTCTCATCACTTCATCTCATCACTTTCTCTCATCACTTTCTCTCATCACTTTCTCTCTCGATACAGTCCTGTGGAGTTTCAGATGAGATTCGCGCATAGCAAAATCGCGAGGAGCAATTCCGTGATAACCGAAATTGCCACTCGCAATTTTATCCTAGATGTAAATGTTAAGACACTCTCTCTCTCTCTCTGTGCAGTGTCCTTTCTCAAAGTCTTCGGTGGTCATGGTCTTCCTGAAATTCAGCTCTGTCCATGATATTGGCTCAACAACTGCATTCTCCTCCCAGTTGCATCCAGTTGTTCAAATGACTTCTGTAACTTAATCCGCGGTTTTTCCCGACGGTGGCGAGATGTCACCTACCTCGCCTGGTATGCAGGAGGTCGTGGGCTCGATGCCGACCCTGACCCCTGCTGTATATTTGGAGTTTGCGGTGTCTCTCTTTCATCATCATCACGGTGGCTTGGATATGTCAACTACCTCGCCTGGTATGCAGGAGATCGTGGGTTCGATGCCGACCCTGACCCCTGCTGTATATTTGGAGTCTGCATGTTCTCCCCGTGGTCACGTGGATTTTTCTCCGGGTCCTCCGGTTTTTCACTCCACATTTAGAAACATGCATTGAGAGTATTTGGCTGCTATAAATGTCCACATGATAAGCCACTACGTTGAGCTATCATTTGCGGCCAGGCCACTTCTGAAAAAGAGCTGTATAGCTTAGCCGGCCTTACCTGGTAAAATAAAAAAAATTGTGTCCGTTCAGTTTAAGTTTGTACCTCAAAGTTTTACAATCAAAACACATTTATAGTCAGTGTCTTGTGTTCTCATTGTATGTTCAGAGTAATTAGATTGCATTACGTTAAAATATATACGAGATTACACTCGGCCAACTTCGAATTAGCAATCGGAAACTGTTGGTTTTAAAAAAGGAATGCCGGGAAAGCTGGCAGTGCATGAGAGTCTGTAAGGTGCCACAATATATTTACACAAAGAATAACAAGTCTGGAATCCGTGAAGATGAAATGTGAATCCTATCTTTTTAATAGCTGCGCCATGGCTTGATTCTTATGCACTGAATTTATTTATTTAGGGTTTTTTTACCAGATTATATCCCAAATGTCCTTTTGGCATCAAGGCAGGGAGTGAAGAATTTTCCATTCCTCATTCTGCCTACAATAGCAAAGCGCAGTTTGGAATGCACAACATCACCGCTCGCTGTCTTGGCAGATTAAGTGTTTGGAAATAAATACGTTTTGAAAGCTGCTCTGTTTCACTGCCAGAATTAAATAGCATTACGTCCATCGGCCAATAGATCTTCAGGAGCAATCTTGTTGAGGTAGATTCCTCGTATTAAGCAGGGCACAGCGTCAATCTCCTCCGAGTGTCATCAGTAAGCGGTGGCCTATTAAACGCAAGGTACCACAGACTACTCGCTCGATGTCACAGGAGGCTGGGGGGGGGGATAGCGAACCACGGCTCGCGAGTCACAGTTCACGTGCGACTCGATAGAGACGCATCCCAAGCATAAGGCTTGCGTGTCTCGCCCGCTGTTGGCCCTATGGAGATGTTTTGTTGGTCGGCGGTTCGCAGTGTCAGAAGGTTTTGTGGCCACCCCTGTCATTAGCTATAGCCATCTTTAGAAGTCGTGAGGGTGCGAGTATGAACTCAAAATCCCCAGCAAAAAAAGTAACCCAAAAAATACCTGCAAAAAAATGCAAAATCACCGCTCTCGGTTGCCTCCGTGCGTTGCGGGTACCACTGTGAGGAGTTACACAGCAGCTCTGGACTGACATCCCTCGAGGGTTTGCGTCTGAAACGAACGTTTATCCTGCACACGTTGCAGCTTTTGCAGATGAGTGAATGCCCCCTCTCTGCCCCCCCCGCCCCCCCCCCCCCCCCCCCCCCCCCCCCAGAGCTGGGCACTGATCCATTTAAAGGCGAAACCAATTTTTCGCGATAAATGTTCTATTGCCGAGTGAGCTGAGACGACCTAATCCGGTGATGTACACCCAGGTGAGGGCGGGGGGGGGGGGGGCTTATTCGAGCCATTGAACCCAGCACCTTGGCAGTGCTGACTCAATGCTCTCGGGCACGTCCATTACGAACACCCCGAGTCACCGGCCAACCGCAACTCTGAACACGGTGCCGCTATAACTACCCCCCCCCCTTCCACTTCTTAATAACCCCCACCCCTTTATTGCGACCGCTATCATGATATGTGCGATTTTATCAAACTATCTCAGAAAAGGAAAGGACGCAACAAGTTAGCGTCGCCGCATCGACAAGCACGGCGCTGCGCGGCACTTATATCCATTTGCGGTCCTCAATCTGGCGTGGAAATTCCAGACCGCTACGGTAAAGACCGCCGGGGGGGGAGGGGGGCTCACGTGATCGAGCATAGGGGAACGATTTATTGAGTCCACCGCCAATCTGGTATTTTAACTCTCCAACGTGTGGCTGTGCGCGTGGGTGTCTCTAACTTAGAGCGTCACAAGGATGGCTCTGAAATCGGGTCACGGTAAAGGCGCAGCCCTGAGACCACTCGCTCACGCCACTGCTGGCGCTCGGGTCTCGACTAGAGGGAGCTCCAGAGAGCCGCCCTCGGCAGGGTGTTTCGCCCTTCGACGCTGGCCAGCCGTCGTGGACGAGGTGGGAGTTACCCACGCTCTACCCTACCGCACACGCGACCGGCCGATCGACTGACTGTAGCGTACCCATTTACACTGCTCGGTGGACAGAGCTGGGTGGGAGGGATGATTTAAGAAACTTGCACCGTTGTTTATGCATTGGTCACCGATACTCTGCGATCACATACATTAGAACCCCATTGCAGTGCCTGGCCCTGAACGATCACTACATTAGAACAGCATTTCAGTGTGTGGCCCTGAATGATCACGTACATTAGAACACCATTCCATTGTACATTAGATCCTCCATAGAGCCTTAACAGACTGTTGAGGCAAGCGCTGTTAGCGAGCAGCACCTATTGAGGCCGGACACGACACACAAAGGAGTGGATGGCCAGCACCACGCCCGGCCGCCTTTATCTCCCGAGTGGCGATGTTTACACACTGCACCAGGTACACATTTGAGTCTGAGTCGACCTCGGGGAGGCCCAGGACCGGTTTAAATAATTGTCACCTTTTGTCGACCGTGAGCGGGAATTGAACTCGGGCCGTCGGGTTCGTAGTGATGGTGCGCGCGCACGCACGTACACGCACAGAGGTCGCCCGTTCCACCTTCAAACCACTCACCTTGAAATGCTGAAGGTTTAACTTCTCATCCTCGAGTGCCCTCTTTTTGTTCTCGATGTCCTCCTGTCTGCTTCTTCTCTCCTGTGGAGACACGAGTCGCTCACGGTCAGTTACGCCGCCGACAATTCTGACTTCACATCACCGCGCGAGACATCTTTGGCGCGCAGGGTTCGACAGCCCCTTGGTGTTGTTAACCCTCTCCTGTTCTGAGACGTCTGCAAGTTGCAGGGTGGGTGTCCCGTTCACGGCCGAGTCTCGGAACGCGCAAGCGGTTCGGCGTTATTTCCATGTAGAGAGGCCGTAGCGCCGTTGTTTTTAAAGACATTGTTACGCACCGCAGAGAACCGTAGCGGCACGATCGCCACCCTATGATAGCTGGCGCCAAACTGCGCCACACGCCCCTCCCGCGTGGCCTTGCGGGAGCCTCGGTATGGACGGAATTACTGATGACGTACACCCAAGTACACGTACGTCATCGGAATGGGAAAGGGTTAAGTAGCACGCGCCTTCAAAGGTGAGAGAGAGACACGGTGGTTGTTGTTGTTATTGCTGCTGAAGCGCTGTGTTTGTTTCTTGCTCTCCAAGCCGTTAGGATGAAGACGTATTTATAACCACGAGACCACCCTCAATGCAATCTCTGGTGTGGAGGGGAAGACAAATGGGCAATATTGCCTCATCGCTGGGACACGCTGCACCGTACGCGGAATATGAATGGCAAATGCCAACGATTTCCGTGTAAAACTAGATGCGTTTGACTGGTTGATAAAAAAAATTACATTGGAAATTAAAACCACGATTTAGGAGGCAGATTATTTTTGTATAAATGCGGTGGTCAAAACAGTTGCAATAAACCACAATTTAATTTGCTGCCAGGTTTCTCCAGGTGCTCCGGTTTCCTCCCACATGTACACACACTCATTCATTGGCCGATCACACCTTCATATACAGAGGACGGCAGAGCTTGGAGGGGGAATTTGACGCCGGCTCATTGCGTGGTTTTTGCTGCTGCTGCTGCTGCCTTCCCGCTCGTTTGCGGTTCCTCCTCCTCGTGCCTCCGAGTCGTTCTCTCTCTCTCTGTGTACGCGAGCGAGCGGACGCTGTGCGGTGGCGCGTTACAAGTTGGCATAATTATTGTTATCTATTTTATCCTCGGTTTTATTCCAAAATGTATCATCGGCATCGTGTCAAAGGATTTAACTCGTTTGCCGCTTTGGAATGTTCCACCATGAGCGGCGCACCGTTACGCAGCACTCTCAGAGGACAGAGGTTGACGTCACAGAAATACTTCTGAAGTTGCTCTCAACAGAGGCCCTTTTACCCCTGATGAGTCAACTTTGATTGTCCTGCACAGAGTGTTTTGTGGCGTAACAATCAATAATATAATTAACATAAATATTTACTTAAAACTTCTGCGACTTCAGGACTTCATATTCTTTGGTTCTTTCGGTTAAAGTCACTTAGATAGAAAAAATAAAAGTAAACAAAATGAAAATTAAAAACTACGACGTTTCGATCACAACACAAGCAATCGTCATCAGGAGGAAAAAGGGGGGAAGACCACCGAAGGCAAGCTGTTATTAAAGGTTTAAAAAGGGGCGTGGCACAAGCGTCCTGGTAACAGAACGAAGTGGGCGGGGCATATGTGCCCTAGGGGCAGAAACCACCAACGAGAAGCACAGAAGGTGACAAGAAAGGGACGAAAGCCTACAAGTAGGAAACATCACAACCAGTTATGACTTAAAGTGGTTGATGACGTCCTTCCAATGATTGCTGAGTTTGTACCCATAATCTCGTTTGAAATTGTGTCCGTATATATGGATGGCTTCATGAACGAATCTTTGTTGATGGCCAGTGGGCTTGCAAAGTACCATCGTCTTAGAGAAATCTATCTACGTGACGTTACCGAAAGAACCAAGACATTTAACATAAACTACGTTTATGAAGTTCCTTTCTACAAGGTACTCAAGTCACTGTACAGCACATAATAATTATGCCGAGGGGAGGAATAAAGAATGATCAAAGCTCATTGAAAGAACTGAAAGCAACAGTGGGCATGGAGCTACACAGCTAGGGAGCAGCACAACACTGGGCATGGAGCTACACAGCTATGGAGCATCACAACACTGGGCATGGAGCTACACAGCTAGGGAGCATCACAACACTGGGCATGGAGCTACACAGCTATGGAGCATCACAACACTGGGCATGGAGCTACACAGCTAGGGAGCATCACAACACTGGGCAGGGAGCTACACAGCTAGTGAGCAGCACAACACTGGGCATGGAGCTACACAGCTATGGAGCATCACAACACTGGGCATGGAGCTACACAGCTAGGGAGCATCACAACACGGGGCATGGAGCTACACAGCTAGGGAGCAGCACAACACTGGGCATGGAGCTACACAACTAGGGAGCAGCACAACACTGGGCAGGGAGCTACACAACTATGGAGCATCACACCACTGGGCATGGAGCTACACAGCTATGGAGCATCACACCACTGGGCAGGGAGCTACAAAGCTAGGAAGCATCACAACACTGGGCAGGGAGCTACACAGCTAGGGAGCAGCACAACACTGGGCATGGAGCTACACAGCTAGGGAGCAGCACAACACTGGGCATGGAGCTACACAACTATGAAGCATCACAACACTGGGCATGGAGCTACACAACTATGGAGCATCACAACACTGGGCAGGGAGCTACACAGCTAGGGAGCATCACACCACTGGGCAGGGAGCTACACAGCTAGTGAGCAGCACAACACTGGGCATGGAGCTACACAGCTAGGGAGCAGCACAACACTGTGCATGGAGCTACACAGCTAGGGAGCATCACACCACTGGGCAGGGAGCTACACAGCTATGGAGCATCACAACACTTGGCATGGAGCTACACAGCTAGTGAGCAGCACAACACCGGGCAGGGAGCTACACAGCTATGGAGCATCACAACACTTGGCATGGAGCTACACAGCTAGTGAGCAGCACACCACTGGGCAGGGTCGCCCAGTGCGTGGAGGAGCCGTGTTTGGCGAGCACACAGGTGGCACCGGCCATCAAAGCCTTCGGGATGACCACACACACGTGGGAGTCGGCATGACTGGGAGACAACCTCGGCTTGCTCACTCTCGAGCGCCTTCAAAATCGCGCAATCGGTCCTCGGAGTCCGACGAAGTGAACGTTCAAATTGAGTCCGCTGGGGGGTTTAACAAATTCGCAAGCATCGGTGAACCCGTTATACCTCGAGGGCCAGCCAAGGGTTTATCGCTGGGGACTGGAACCCGGAGTCGAATCCTAAGTCGAACCAAGGCTCTAAGTGGAGCCAACCCATTGTGGGTTTGGCTGAGCAACCATCAACCTCCTGCTCTCGGCAGTGTTAATATTGCTCACCGAATATATATTTTTCCTCGGTTTGGAAAGAATGAGCGTGGCTTTCTGATAATGAAAATGCATTCAGCTTGGACGCGAATTTATCGACGTTTGTTTTTATCTACAACGTCAACATGTCCTTTTGAACGGGGATCTGTCAAAGCTGAATTATTTTTTTTATTTTAGCTCCATTATTCTTTGCGAATCCGTTTGATGGCACGATAACAAGAAAATCAACAACACGGAGACGTTTTAAATCACACGCCCACACATGGCCAGCGAATGACTCTATTACCCTGCCTAAATGTTTGCTCTATCACTATTACAAACAAAAGCAGTGATTTCAACTTGCAACAGGAACTACAGAAGCCGGCGCCATAAAACAATTTCCCGAGCTCTGCATTCCTCGATATGTAAAGATGTTTTCAGCCAATGAATGAGTGTTCACACATGTGTGAGTAAAACCGGAGCACCGGGAGACAAGCCACGCAGGGCAAGAGGCAAAACTCTATCCAACACAGAAGCGGAGAAATACTTTTAGTCCGCAGTTCTCTGTTGCTCGCTTCGTTCGCAAGTCACGGCATGGCACCAATCCTCGCCCCCCACAGTGCTGGATTGCAGGCTGCGTGCGCAGCCACCACCGCCCGGCTTAATTGTATCCGCACGGGCTGATAAGATGAGTACCACTGTGCGGGGGAAGTCAAAAGTGGATGAGTTGAAAGTCCTGCCGTAGGAATGTGGAATGTCCACCGGTGGATCAGAGCTTGCGGCAGCAGCCGCCTCGTGCTCGTTTGGTCCAGGGAGACACGACAACGTAGACTCACACAGGTCCAAGCCCAGTGGACATTTGTGAAAAAGAGCTTTATTGCTCATCGGATTCCTCCAGCATAAATACATATTCTGATTCTGATGTCAGTAAGCACCTATTCTGTCTGGCTACATAACGTAGTGACCAAGTAGTTAGGGTTGGTGGATCACATTCAGAAGAGAACGTCATCCCGTGAAGGGAGGTGAGTGATGTTTGGTTTCCCTGTGCGTGACCCAACAACAGCAGCTCTGAGAACGCATTCTTTGCCGATCCCGCGGCGTTTGCATTGGTGCAAAAAACTCAAAATAACTCAGCGCATTCGTCAATAACACCATTGTGTGGCCTTGACAATAATAAAAATATATATAGCAAGCGACGTTTCGGGCAATGGCTCTTCTTCATTGCACATAAATGGAGAGGCTGGTCGAGAGGCGCCATGGGGCCTGATGGAGATGTAAAACAATTTGTATCTTTTCTGATTACGTTTTTTTTAGTTTTTACCTGGCATATAAATACCTATCTAATAGTGGCTACTGAGCAAGAGACATACTTCCAGCTTCCGATGTCTTCCCCCTAAGTGACCAGGCGCACACAATAGATGTCGTGACATTTTCACCTGGGGTTGAAATCCAATTCAGTAAAATTCCAAAGGCGTCCTTCATTTTGGCGTATTGTGCAACTCGCCGGCAGTCCACATTTTAGGCCGGGCCACCACAGAGGTAACCCAGACACCACACGTCAACATGTCAACATTGTTCTGTTTATCAAAGGATGGGACAGGGATTGCAGCGCCTTTTGCGGGGTCCGGTTTTTCGCGTATACAGTGTGGGGGGGGGCTGACCTATTCCTCCCCAAAGGTCAGCCAAATGCACGGTGTGAATTCACCCAGATGCGGCTAA